TGCCCCTAACTTTTGGAATTTCCTGCCCCCAATCTTTCTGCATTGCCCCCTCTTTACCTGTCTTCAAAACAACTTTCCTCTTCAACTATGTCTACAGCCACTTCTTCATAGAATTATACAACACAGAAGGAGGCCATTTGGCCCATCGTGAAAAGAGCGATCCAAATCAATCCCACTCCCCCGCTCTCTCCCAATAGCCCTGCAAACTTGTTCTCCCCAAATAATTATCTACTTCTCTCTTAAAAGTTGTTATCGAATCGGCTTCCACTACCCCTTCAGGCACCTTTCACTCTCACCTTTGTCATTTCCAAACTTGATGTTCCCAATGCTCTAGTTACTGGCCTCCCGAGCTTCACCACCGACAGACACGCTCCAGACCACTTAGAACTGTGTCCTCTCTTGCAACAACCATACCCAGCTTCCCTGTCCGCCCCCAGACTCCAGGTGGGGATCTTAAAATTGTGGATCTTAAATCCATGCCTTTCAAATGCTTCCATAGTGCTACACCACCACCTTATCTGGGCACCCTCCCACTACCCTATTCCCACAGCTACTCTCCCCATTCTAGCCTGCTCCATGACACCCTTCTCCCCCTTGCTCCCCAACCACTGTTACTACCACCAACTCCACCATCAGCAGGGGAATGCAGTCACGTTGATCTCATGGGCTGGAATTCTCTTCTGAAGTCCCTCTGGTTCTCTGCACTCAAAACTCACCTAATGACCTACCTTTGTACTTTTGGCCACCTCCTCTTTCTCAATCTCCCACTCTGTCTCTATTTCAAAAGTACTTCAAAACATTCCCTTATTTGAAAGACACATTCTTGTGTACTGCCCACTCGCCATTGCTGATAACTCAATTACTGGATCCCTGGAATGTCACTCATGATTTGAATCCTGTAACTGAGTCATCATCAGCAGTGGCAAGTGGGCAGACAACAACTTGTTCTTCACAGGTTGCAAAATGTGGCTGGCCAGTCTTTGAGTGGTTCTATGCAGTGTATTTTTTCAGGAGAACAGATCTTTAGGAAAGGTAAGGCAATATGGCCTGCACAAATGTTTTTTTCCTTTTATTCAAGTAATATTTATATGGGACTATGACGTTTTGTGAAGCTGTATGAAATGAAGCCTTTTCAATCTGTAGCAATTTTGGAATTCAATGAATTGTGAGCATTTTGAAGCATTCTGATTTAAAAGAAAACAATTCACCTGGTACCTGTGTTAAAAAAGTAAATTTCTGGTCTTTATGGCACTGGCCTGAGAAAAGGTTGCCTACGCTGGCCTGTACCACGAGATTATGTCCTAATGAGGTAAGAGTACTACACACATTTAAAAAAAACATAAATGGAAAATTTTTATTTTAAATAACCATTATCACAAATGTTGCCAAGTTTAGAAAATATATACTCGCCTCCCCCTATTTGAGCAGTTTTGATAAACAGCAGCTGTAATCCTTTGGCAGTATATTTCTAACAAAGCACATTAACTGTTTACCAGTACAATGCAGCATCTGTTAGAACTGCAGCATCAGATTTTGCTGTACTGGTTAATATCATGCGAGTATTGTAACAGATTTTGTAACAGCATTAATCGCATTAAAACTGTTGTGCTGCAAACATATTCAGAGCAAAACAGCTTTGATGTATTTTTTTTTAAATTCCTGAAACCAGTACTGTCATGACTATCATGAAACATTTTACAAGTAAACTTCCAGTGAACTGGATTCCCTCCCTCTTCCTTGGCACTGGTTCACTCACTGACGGTTTTAAATGTTTGCGTAAAAAATGTTTTACAGGGAGAAAGATAGTGTACAGCAATACAATTTACTGTAATAGCATTCTGATTATTTCTCGTAGACAAGATTCAACTCAACTAAAACTGCATTTCAACAAGACACTAGTATTTTAAAATAAATAGCTGTATGCAGCCTCATTATCATCAGCTACAGCCTAGTAAATGTTTCCACATCCATCTTAAGATCCTGGATCATGAACAGGAAGCGAGGATGGGACAATTTACTGCTTTACCACAAGCTACAAATGTGTGCATCTACAATATAAAACCCAATTGTTTTTGCTCAGCCTGACACACGCACACACCCATCACCATGCTTGGAAGAGTATCCAAACCAAACGGTGTTCCACATATCCCACCTACACAAATTCCAGAGAGATGAGTTAGTTGGAATGGAATGCTCACTCTCCCTGGAGGGACACATCCTGCTTACCTAATTCTGGAAAGCATTAGTGCAGGTTGGTATGATCCAAGGTTTTGAGACCCCACAGTATGCACTGGGGTATTATTGCTGGAGTCTAACCAGCTAAACCCACATAGAACTCTGCTGCCTGCATTCTTACCCGGACCAAACTCTGTACCCACATCTCACCAGTTCTGGCCCAGGGTGCCACTGGCTCCCCATCACTGATCGGGGATCGACTTCCAAGATCCTCGCACTCGTGTCAAATCTCTTCACTCTCTGGCACCTCCCTACCTTTTCACTCCCCAATCCACCACCCGGCACCTCCGCTCGACTGGAACCAGCCTCCTGGTCGTCCCTCGCACCCTCCCATCAGAGGTCGCACTTTCAGCCACTACGCCCCAAAACTCTGGAACCCTCTCCCTCAATCCCTCTGCCTTGCCCCCTCTCTCTCCCCTTTTTCAAGGTCCACTTGAACACCTTCCTCTTTGACCGTGCTTACGGCCACCTTCCCCCCCCCCCTTCCGGCTCAGACTCCGTCACTGTTAAGCGCTCTGAGACGCTACCCTGTGTGGAGGGCGCTATATAAGTGCAAGCTGTTGTCGTAGTACAGCTTGCCATCTGTAGTACTGTCTGGCAAGTTTTCCCGCTGCTTGTCCAGCCTAGGATCACCTACCAGTTACGACGTTGGCTTGCAGGGTTAACTGGGAGTCCCACTCAGCTCTCGTTACTGGTCTGCCCTTCCAAGCCCTGCCAATGACCCAGCCTGGCTGTGCTTTCATCAGCAGCGCTTAGGAACTGGACAACCACAGAGGGTGGGCTCAATTCTGATAACTTGTTACCAAACTCGTCCCCTTGAAGCCACTTCAGCTTCAAGGAGACCCAGCTTACACTACCCCACTACCCCCGGAAGGTTGTATTCAACCCGCCAGAAAAAATCCTAGTTGGACATGTTGTTAGGATACTCTTAAGTGGAATTGATCAGGTACTCACGCAGCTGACCAGAAAAAAAATGTTAATTCCACGTTATTATGTCAAAACATTACTTTATTTCAATCAAATTTGCCAGTCAAGCGTCAAGTTTTTTTTAAAAAAATCAGCACCACCATTTCTTTTTGGGGTACAACACCAAACAATCAATTCCAAACAAGGGGAATGCAGTCCAGCTCAGAGGCAAAAGAAACACCCACAAGCATCACATATTAACATTCCCAGAGAGCTGACATCAGAGACACCCAGAGAAAGACTCCTTGTAAGGCTTAGGAGGACCACAATCTTTAACCGTACAGTTTAAATCAGAAAACACTCATCGCCTTTCCCAAGCACGACTCCCAGAACGCAAGTCAAAAATTAGCAATAACGTATACAGTATATTTCAACCACAAACGCCCCCCCGCAAACTTGTCACGCACAGAAAAGGACCGTGACAACCCTTACCAGCTGTTTAAAAATACAAACATGTCCTTTAAGAAAATGCCTGCGCTGGGTGACCTCACACCAGACAAACTTCATTCGGAAGGTTTAAAAATAGGTGGGATGGTGGTAGGAAATGCGGTGCGGCGTTTCTACTTAAAAGAAAAGGAAGGCGTTGGTTGGGTTTATAATTTAACATCATACTTAGAAGCGAAAGGGTTCATACAAATGTGAACCAAGAAAAAAAATTAGGAGCTCGCTCACACGATCAGCGCTCTATAGAAACCAATTCACCGTTTGAGCCGTTGCTAATGCCAATGGTAAATGTTTCCCCCCCAACCACCTCCACCACTCCAACACCCCCCCAACCCCACTACTCCCAGCACCGACCCCAGCCCCTCCAACAACACCGCCACCGACCCAGCCCCCCCAACAACACCGCCACCGACCCCAGCCCCCCCAACAACACCGCCACCGACCCAGCCCCCCCAACAACACCGCCACCGACCCCAGCCCCCCAACAACACCGCCACCGACCCCAGCCCCCCAACAACACCGCCACCGACCCCAGCCCCCCAACAACACCGCCACCGACCCCAGCCCCCCAACAACACCGCCACCGACCCCAGCCCCCCCAACAACACCGCCACCGACCCAGCCCCTCCTCCGACCCCAGCCCCCCCAAGCCTGCTCCCTCCAACACCACCACCCACCCCACCCCAACACCCTCCAACACCCCACCCCTCTCCAACCACCCCTGTCCCCTCCAACCACCCCCACCCCCAATACCCCACCCAATCCGCCGCCCCAATCCCTTCACCACCCTCAACCTCCCCAACAACCCCCCCTCCCCAACACACCCCAATCCCTTCACCAACAACAGCCCCTTCACCCCCTCCACCGACCCCCTCCAACCCCATCCAGGCCTCTCCCGCTCCGCCGTCACCACCCGCACTCCCCCCCCCTCCCCTCCCCAGCCCAGCCCGGGGCTCCGGGCCTTGCGAAGCCTCTCAAATCCCCGCCCCCCTCTTCCCTCCCTCCCTCCCTCCCTCCCTCAGCCTCAACCCGACACCCGGTTAGTTATTCACTTCATTCCCTCCTTCAGCCGCTTCCACACGGGAGATATTCGCGACCCCCCCGTCAGCTTCTCCCCCCTCCCCCTCCCTCCCCACCACAGACAGACCGACCGACCTCGACGGCCCACCGTCCAGCGCCCCCCCCCCACACCCACACACACACACAAAAAGAAACCCCCCACAGGTCCGTTTTACATTTATTTTTTTTCTCCTTCTTCCCCGCCCCTCAACGAAAAAAAACACAAACTTCCCCCCTCAAAAAAAAAACCCCCCATCTCCTGTGGTGCTGTGAGGGAGTGAGGGTGAGGTACTCGCCTTCCAGGAGCCGGGCTATCAAGCTGTCCACATTCAGCTCTCCGTCCGCCATTTTGCAACCAGTTCTACACCAGACACACAGAGAGAGAGAGAGAGGGAGAGAGAGAGGGGGAGAGGGGGCGGGGCGAGGGGGGCGGGGCCACTCGGCTTAACCCAACCACAGACACAGAGAGGGGGAGAGGGGGCGGGGCGAGGGGGGCGGGACCACTCGGCTTAACCCAACCACAGACACAGAGAGGGGGAGGGGGCGGGGCGAGGGGGGCGGGGCCACTCGGCTTAACCCAACCACAGACACAGAGAGGGGGAGAGGGGGCGGGGCGAGGGGGGCGGGACCACTCGTCTTAACCCAACCACAGACACAGAGAGGGGGAGAGGGGGCGGGGCGAGGGGGGAGGGGGAGGGGCCACTCGGCTTAACCCAACCACAGACACACACACACAGAGAGAGAGGGAGAGAGAGAGAGCAGTCACCGCGCGCACTCTCCCTGTCAGCACTGCACTCACACAGCTCTGGCCCCGCCCCCCCATGTTAACACTGTCAGTGCTGGTGCTGAACTCACACAGCTCTGGCCCCGCCCCCCCCGCCCCTCCCTCCATGTTAACACTGTCAGTGCTGGTGCTGAACTCACACAGCTAACCCCTACCCCTCCCTCACTCACTCACTCACTCACTCACACACAAAGTAGTTACCATATTAACACTGTCAGCGCTGAACTGACAGCTAACCCCTCCCTCTCACGTACACGTTCTCTCTCTCTCTCTCACACAAGCACACACATAGGTACACACTCTCTCTCCCACTCGCACACAGAGCAGTTACCATGATAGCACCGTCAACGCGGAACGACGTGACATGGCGCTATATCTCCCACAAAATATACAGTCAATTTACTTTGCAGTATATTCTGTGAAGCGCTTTGTGACGTCTCGAAGACGTGATAAAGTGCTACATCAAATGCAAGGATTATTATTATCCTTTGCCAAATTTATTGTCATCTTCAAATTTGGACACATTTTGCCATGTTACAAATAATCCTTGCATTCGACATCACGCCTTATCGTGTCTTCGAGACGTCTCAAAGCGCTTCGCAGAATATACTGTAAAGTGAATTGATCGTGTATTTTATGGGCAAAACGCAGCAGCCAATGCACACAGCAGCGTCCCACAAGCAATTGTGGATTTATTATTACTTTTTAATTTTTCTTTTTTTTGAAGGGATTATTACCCCCGGAAAAGCGATCGGCCAATCGAGACTAACAATTGGGTTCCTACTTATTGCTCGGTAAACAGAAGCGTGTGGAGTAAGGAAACTTGCCTCACCTTTCTTCCATTCTATTTTGGGGAACGAATTTTGATTTCTCTCGGCTGTTTCCCACAGCAGCACTATCTGAGATCGGGAAACGAGAGTGAATAATGATAAAATGATGATGATAATCCTTGTATTTAATATAGCGCCTTATCACGTTTTCTAGACGTCTCAAAGCGTCTCACAGAATATACTGTAAAGTGAATTGACTGTGTATTTTGTGGGTGACAGAGTGCAGAGGAATGCTGGTATGACTCCTGAAATGGAGCTGTTGAATGTTGAACTACTATACTGATGGCTCCAGTTTAGGAGTGTTGCTAAATTGATAAGATTTTTTCAAAGTCAAATACCGGTAATTTATTGCACGTTATAATCATCTTTGACACCAAAGATATATCACTGAGAAGGTGGAAGAATAGAACTAGTAAGGCATTGAGTCAAGGCCAGGAAAGATAGCTTCTTTATTATCCATTTGTGGTATAACTAAATTTTGGATAAATAGAACATCACTTCTTTGCTTTCGTAGTTAATGCTCCAATATAAAACATAAAATCTCATTTATCTACTGACGCCCTTTTATCTCTATACTCCCACTAAAATAAAACAAAGGATGATAGATCCTGACTCCTTCCGAAGACAGTAATATTTTAATTTGAACATTTTCTAGCCTTGGAGAATAGTTTCTTATCTGTTTGTGACATCCTTCATTTTAATTTAGTTCTAGGCAGTGTTCATACCATACCCAGAATGTGTAAATAGTCTTGAATAGTCCTACAAATAGTGTACACAAGTCCATAATTAATAATCCCGGATATAAATTGTTTGCTTCTGGATTTTCTGAAAATCAATGTCCGTAACTTTGGGAAACAAGTATTCAGGACAAAAATTAAACACATTTAAATGGCTTGGAATTCAATATTCCAATTTATTTCAGTCAACATTTATTTTCTTGTAGAAATACTTTAAAAAATAATAATTTGGTCACACAAAGTCAATTTAATTTGCAGTATATTCTGTGAAGCGCTTTGAAATGCCTCAACGAGGTGATAAGGCGCTATATCAAATGCAAGAATTATTAGTATTATTATTGCAATGAAGGTGATGTCTACAGTTCCAGAGAATAAAAATGAAAAAAAACAGGACTCAATTGGGTCTAACAAACACTTGGGATAAAGATTCTCTACTCCCCTCTACTCTAGCAACACAATAAACATCAGTACAAGCTGGTAATGTCATCAACAATGTCATCTGTTGTTGAACAGTACTCCACTTGTCAGACACTCATATAATGCAAGCTGTGAAACTAACGTAATGTTTACAAACTGTGTACCGTACCAAGTTCGCGAAAGCATTTGCAAAACAACAAATACGTTTTTAAATGAACAATACCAAACCTGATGTGAAACCTGTAATGTTCACACAAATACATTGGTTTAGGTAACAAGGTCACATGAGTTGTTAATAGTAGCTTTCATCTTATTATATTGAAAGGATATTGGTTTACTATCCAAGCCTTCCATTAAATAATGCATTACTCAAACACAATGGCCTATTCATGGAACTTTGGGATGCAATGAATACTATTATTAAAGGCAATTTTAAAATGTTTGTTATGCTGTCTCAGGTTTCTCCTTGAAACATCAGATTGCTATCGCCAGGTAAACAGCACCATTGTTTTAGGTGCATGGTATTTTTACCTTGTATCTTGAGATCAGACTTTTATTAACCTTTTGATAGCTGCAGAATGGCTGTGCGGTGCCCAAAATACTGTAATTGAATGTAAGAATTCTCTGTGTTCCTCGGAGTGCTCTTCAGTTTCTTTATATTAATAAAAAAAACTTGCATATGATATAGCGCCTTATCACGTCTTCTAGACATCTCAAAGCGCTTCACAGAATATACTGTAAAGCGTAGTGACTGTATGTTCTGTGGATGAAACACCGCAGCCAATACCACTCAGCAATGTCCCATAAACAGTCGTGGATTGAATGACCAAATTATTATTTTTTTTAAGGTATTATTACCCCTGGAAATGCGATCCACCAATCGACTAACAACCACATTCCTACCTACTGCTCGGTAAACAGAGGCATGTGGATAAGGAACCTTGCTCAACATTTTGCATTGCTGGGAATCAAATCCAGGTCCTTTCGCTTGCGAGGCGGGTGTTCTAACCACTAAACTACAGAACTCCATATATTATGTCTGTACTAAATATAATATACATTCTTCTTATTGCATTCTGACATACTGTATTCAATACGTTTTTCCCTTGTTTTATGTTTTGAGGAACCTCCATTGCCTGATCATAAATCATTCCCTAACCAACAAAAACAAGTGAGTTAGACAATCTGATTCTAAACCACTCTATGCTTTGAAACCAACCACTAAAATGTATGCCAGAGCAGCCCGAGAGAGTACTCATTCGTGAACCTGTAGCGCAGTGGTTAAAGCACTCGCCTTGCAAGCGAGAGACCTGGGTTTGATTCCTGTAAGGGAAAAATGTTAGGCAAGTTTCCTTACACCACCCGCCTCTGTTTACCAAGCAGTAACTAGGAACCCAGTTGTTAGTTGATTGACGGATTGCTTTTCCGGAGGTAATAAGTCTTTAAAAAAAATTGTTAACTCATCCACGACTGTTTGTGGGACACTGCTGTGTGCAATTGGCTGCCATGTTTCGCCCAGGAAATATACAGCCAATTCACTTTACAGTATATTCTGTGAAGCGCTTTGAGACGCCTCGAAGACGTGATAAGGCGCTATATCAAATGCAAGGATTATTATTTTTATTATTTATTTTCCCTTATTTCCTCTGGGGAAGGATCTACTCAGTCATTGGCCTTAATAACACAACCAGTAGTGGTATTGCATTTGGTAGAGAAAACACGCTATGTCAGATCCCTTTAAGTATCAACATTTTATTGTCTCTCTCTTTTTGTGACTGAGAAAAGCTTTCTCAGACCCCTAAAAGGTTAATACTCTAGACAGCTTAACTGCTACTTAGCTTTGTAAAGTTGTTCCAAGGAATAAGAAGCATGAACCATGTTCCCTGGAGCAAAAATAGCATTGACCGGTAAACTGCTTTGATACACTAAGGATGATATTATTTAATGATTTCTTGTAGCTGTACACTGGACTACGTTTTTAAACAGCTTAGTAAACCCATGACACATGTACAGGAAAATTAATTATATCTCATCTCCAGCAGTGATCACAAAAATGTACCTCTTACCCCTTTGCATCCCACAATATATTTAAATGTAAAGGGCTTTCATTTCTCCTGTAAAGGCTGTCGGTAGAGTTTTTGAGCGGTGAATGTGATGCAATCATGCTGTTTTTTAAAGCACAAATGTCACTTGAATTCTTCCATGTCGTCATTCACTGGTGGCTGATGTTACCGTGGTACACAGTGATGAAAAACAAGCTTGGACTTGCCAAATGCTCTGGAGCCAAGTGATTAATGTTTGATATCTAAGTCATGGTTGATCCCCTTTATCTGTCAGTCTGATTGATTTTCTCAGCACCAAGAGGAGGTGATATTTGTTTCACTCTTGATTCAAATATAAACCTGATCGGACTTATTTTCCTCGATAGGTAAAGAGATTGGGAGAACACGGATGCTGGTGTAATGGACAGTTAAAATCATACTTTTGTTAATTCCAAGAGGTTTTAAAATCATCGAGGGATGAGAAATGAATTTCATATACTTATACCTGCTGGCACATGTTGCTGGAAATTGTCTATATCTTGTGGAGTCTTGTAGTTCAGTGGGTTAG